ACACACACACACACATATATATATATATATATATATATATATATATATATATACACACACATACACACACACAAAGAAGATAAATATAAAGTAGAAATTAAAATAGAATAGAAAGTGCTAGAGTTAGAGGGTCAAATAAAGGTGGAACAGATGTGTTTTTAGTCGTTTCTTGAAGATGGTTAAGGACTCAGCTAATAAATAACCATTGTTATTTGCTGTATTGATTTTTTCAATGTACTAATCAAATCAAGTTCAATGAGTTATGCCTGTTTAGATTAAAGACAAAAGACTTGAGTGTACACACATTTCACACTCATGCTGGCTCTTGTGTTTATGTCTTTACAGGCATGCAGCAGACTATCGTCTAGGGCCACGTTTGCTGGGATTAGTATTAATTCCCATTTCGCCTAGTGATCCTCTTCCAGTCAGTAATACAGTCCCGAGGGTTTGGACCCAATAATCACTTTTAAGACTTGCTTACAAACGCAAGATGGATGTCAGACAAGTACTTGCATCTGGAAATGTGGTAAGACACAGACATCCTCTCACCATTATGAGATGATTCTCTACAGAAAGAAGCAACTGGCCCTCAATCCACTACATATGAAAAAATATAAGACACTTTTGTAATCAGCTTAACTTTGACACTGTATGCCAAATTCACATTCTATCTGTTCTACATATTACATCAGATTAGAATTACTATGTACCAAATCATAGTATGTTGAAAATAGTTAATTGGGATGAGTCTAGACAAATAACCATCCCAAATGAGGTTTAGACTTAGTTTATAAAACTATCCCCCAAAAAATCCCAAATATTAAATTGATAGATGTTTATGCTACAAGAATTTACTATATTTCAGTATTGTTTTATTAATATGCACTACTCGTCAAAAGCTAGGAATAATTAAATGTTATGAAAGAAGTCTCTTATGCTAACCAAGGAAGCATTTATTTGATAAAACAATAATAATGTGAAATATTCTAGCATTTAAAAGAGCGGTTTCAATCTGAATATATTTTAAAATGTAATTTGAGTAAAATGTTTTACTGATTTTGGAATTCTTTGATTAATTAAAAGTTTCAAATAACAGCATTTATGTGAAACAGAAATCTGTTGATGATTTCTGAAGGATCATGCGACACTTAAGACTGGAGTAAATGCTACTGAAAATTCAGCTGTGCCATCACAGGAATAAATTACATTTTAAAATATATTTAAATAGCAAACAGCTTTTAAAAAATGTACTAATATTTGAAAACATTACTGTATTTTTGATCAAATATATGCAGCCTTGGTGAGAATAAAAGATCAAATCGTTTATTTAGTATGTGACAATGACAGATTGCTTTAGATTATCCATTCAGATTAGTAACCGGTTTTTTGTTACCCGTGATTTATTGTTAGCTCATATAGTCACCTGTAAATAAACATGACCTTTGACCTGCTCTATGACATCACATTAACCTTTTGGGTAACCCCCATAATCGACCAGGCTGCACATGGGACACTTGTGTGTAGGGCATTTCTGCAGTTATCCTTCATTCTGGACAGCATCAGTCTTTTCACCCTTCAAGATAACAGCAAGTGACATCGAATAAATTAAGTTTTGAGTTAGAACACCTACAATATTGAGGATTTGATTCATAAGTCCATCAGCTCTTTGTTTAATCTTTTCTTTTTAGTGCTACTGACATTCTTTAAAAAACGAGCAAACAAAAACAAAAAACAAGCTTTTTTAAAAATGTAGTTGATGACAGAAATAACATTTGAATTGACAGATATAACAATGCATTTACATTAAGGGATCCATCTCTGAATTCCTCCCAATTATTTCTTTGTCTATCGTACATGAGTGCAGTGCCATCATATAGAGTAAACAACTGCGCACATGGGCGCCCTCACACACACACTCACTAGCAAACATATACTTCATCTTTCTCACATAAGAATATACAAATCTTTTTTTTTTCCCAGTCCCACTAGATTCATGAAATTTCCAAAATCAAGTTCTGAAGTGTCCTTAGCAGGTCATTCTGGCTACTCCAAACTCCAAGGTGACCACGGCCGGCTCATTCTTGGAGCCGAACGATCCTGTCAGCTCTCCGTAACCATTCTCCGTGGCACTGCTACCCTCTACAGTCCTTTCTCCATCAGTACTGGCCGGAGCATCTTCCCTGGCCTCCTCTCCGAACACCTCCTCGTCTTCCTCCTGCTGCACTTCCTTCCGACTGAGAAGAGGAGCTCCCAGGATAAGAGACTGAGGTCGGGGAGGGAGACTGCGATCTCTTGGAGGTGTCTGGGGCTTTAGTGGAGACGTACTCACACCAAACTTCTGGAGCTTCTGTGGAAACGCACAAAGACACAGGAAAGCATGTGTCATTTCAGATGAATGCAATGAAAAGTGCAAAAATACTTTATAGACCTGAAAACATGTTCATCACAAAAGCAAAATGAGTCACTGACAAATGCAAACACAGCTTCAATGATTCTTGTTCCTTGGGGAAAAAAAGCTTATAAAATGATTTATAAAATGTATATACATACACACACATATAATACTATTAAATACATAAATGAAAAAGTACAACAATATTATTATTATTAGTAGTAGTAGTAGTATTAATACATTGGTCGGTGAGGTTTTAAATCTCCAGACAAAACAAAAACTGTAAAATTATTATTGCCACCATTATTATTTAAAAAAATAAAAGTAATATTATTTATATTATAATGTACAGTGGGGAAAAAAGTATTTAGTCAGCCACCAATTGTGCAAGTTCTCCCACTTAAAAAGATGAGAGAGGCCTGTAATTTTCATCACAGGTATACCTCAACTATGGGAGACAAAATGAGAAAAAAAAA